GCACTCGGCGCCGCCGTATGGCGACTGCTCCTGGCGCTCACGGACGGAGGACGCCGAGTCTTCATGCAGTGGATCCCAGCGCACTGCGGAATACCCGGCAACGAGAGAGCGGACGTGCTGGCTAAAGAGGCATCCAGCCTGTCGCAAGACGCCGTCCCAACGGACGTCCGCTCGATGGTGAAGGCAGTCGGCCGCTCCGCCACCAAGGCATGGCGTCGCAGCTGGCCAGACAGCTTCTTCAAAACCATCATGGGAGACCGGATGCCGATGCCGGTGCTCCTGGAGTCTCGCGACGAGGCGGTCAACGTCCACCAGCTGCGGGCGGGACACTGGAGCCGCTCGCAGAGCTACCTTCACAGAATCGGACGCCGTCCCGAGCGCGACTGCCCACAGTGCAGTGATCTGGCCTGCCCGGCGGCGCGCTGCCTGGTGTGTCGCGAGGGCCCGGACACGCCGGAGCACGTGCTGCTGAGGTGCCCGTGCTTGGCTGGCGCGAGGCTCCGCCTACTCGGCAATATCAGACCGGACCCTACGCAGCTTCGGGACGGCGGGGCCGTGGCGGCCTTGAGCCGCGGCTACCTCAGTCACCAACAGCCGTTGGGCTACGGTCGGCCGTGAGCCGACCCGGGGAGAACAACAACAACAACAACAACAGGACCGCGCGCCGACAATCGGAGAGGCGGATCGCGGATGCTGGTGTGCAGAGAAATCTTTACCCTGTACGCCGTAGAAGAAAGGCTGGGTTTCGTGAAAAATGGTAGAGGAATTGTCGAAAGAAAATTCATCGATCTATCATTTGAGACTAAGAACCATTGACTCCTTCAAAGGTTGACCGAGATATCGCTCGCCGAAAACAGGCCATTTAACATGTAAACCCTATGGGCTGATAGGAAATGTACGCCGTGGAGCAGCAGTGCTACCAACTAACTTCGGCGGGGATCGAGTGGGATCTACCTACTCCCTGGATATTTCTGTGGGGGAGTTTGACCTCTGTGGGGTCATTGACAGTGGAAGTGAGCGCACTTTTACCGGGGTTACATGAGCGATCCGTTCCAAATACGCACTACGCTAATGCGCATCAGCTCCCCACAAACGTATCTACGGCACCGGTTACATGAGACTAATTCGTTTTATCTACGTCAAACGGATCTTCTTTGGCTCACCCTCGACGGCCGGTTATTCGCATCACAAACGGAATAGGATTAGCGTACAGTCATGGCGCAGTTGCGGCATTTCCCGGGACGACCGAACTAAACTTTAATTATTGAACAATATAATATCATTTGATATGCTCAAAAACATTTAAAATAAACATGAAATGAAAAATTGAAAACAGTTTTCGTGTTTTAAATCACTGAGCACTGATTCGCCATGCAGCGACCGCAGGGTGTTCAGAAAAAAAATTATCCATCAAAATATTTCATTCATTTTATTTTTGATATTTACCAAATTCACCTTCAAAGACTAAACCAAAATATCAACATTTTTTCTTTTGCTATTTTCTACTAAGCATTCAATAAAAATGCTTATTATTTTGCTTTTTGACGCTTCCATTCAGCAAAGAATAGTTCTTGTGAAATACGTCCAGTTCCGGTCCGAGTTGTGCGCCTCGGCTACCTGAGCGATCCATTCCGTTCCAAATACGTACTACGCTAATTCGCATCAGCTCCCCTAGAACTTATTCACGGCACCGACTACATGAGCTAATTCGTTTTAGTGACGTCAAACGGATCTAGTTTGGCTCTCGGCCCGATGCGCATTACAAACGGAATAGCATACAAATGTGGCGCATTTCCGTAGCAATAGAGGTGACTGAATTGATAATTTAATATGTTATGTCTTTTTTTTTTTTGCATTTCATCTGCTCAGAACATCCTAAGTTAACTAAAGAAAAAAAGTTGAAAATAAAGTTGTCTTGTTTTGACTTATTGCTCACTTGCCTCTCTCGATTCGTCTGTAGTGCTGTCAGAAAAATGTTTCCACTGAAAGTACTTAGGTATTTTCTTTTTTGTTTTCATCATGTTTATTTTGAAAACTTCACAAAATACCTAAATATTTTTTTAAATTTTGATTTCAAAAGCAACAAATGACAAAATACCTTGTATTTTTTCTTTTAAGGCTTCTTTTTGGGATGTAATAGTTCCTGTAATACGTATCTTGGTCCTATTCGCTCCTAAACCTGCTTTCCCAGCGGATTTTGATTATTAGCAGGTGGATACATGAGTCGGTAGTACGCTCCTGATTCGCATTAGTGGTAAATCCGATAGTGATAGGTACGCATTTGCTTTGCTCATGTAACCGCGGTTCGGATCGCCGATTCGTACTTCGGTTCATTCGGTGTCCTGGCGAGCTGGAGCGCGGACGTGTCCAGTCCCGAGAGCCTTCGACGATATTGGCGCACAAACCAGGGAGTAGAGTTCATTGATAGATTTTGAGTTTAGAATTAATTTTTGTTCTTAAATTAGGTACCAACTTTCTTTTCGGTAATCTCACCTTAGTTTTGTAGCTTTGCCGACTTTGTGTTCGTACTTGAGTAATTTTTCCGTAAGTTAAGGATCGGTACCGTGGGAGGCCCAAGGATGGATAAAGAGGCTATTGAGATGATTGTGAAGGAGGCAGTGAGCCTTGAGACTTTGTCTCTGCGAGAGGAGCTGAAAAAACTAAAAACTGATCAAAAAAAGAATGAGGAGGTGATAGAAAACTTGAAAAAAGAAAACAAAAAGCTGTGGAAGGAGATAGAGAAGGTGGATAGAAATGTTGATGAGGTAGAGCAGTACAACAGAAAGTCCTCTCTCATCCTGGGTGGTTCCTTTCCAGAGGGTGCGGAGGGGGAAACACCTCAGGAAACCAGGGCCACAGTAAAGAAGGTGCTCAAGGAAAATCTGAAAGTAGAAATGAAGGGAGAAATAGTAGCATGCCATAGACTGCGAAACAAAAGGCGGGTGATTGTAAAGTTTCAGGACCTTGATGACCGTGATGCTGTCTATCAGGCAAAATTTGAACAAGGTGGAGAACCAGGTGAAAAGATCACGATCCATGAGAACCTGACGGAAAAGAGGGCTAAAATGGTCTCTGTACTTGAGGAGATGCGCAAGAAAAAAGAGGTCCTCAACTATCATACCAAAAATGGCAACATCATGGCAAGAGATTCTACAACAAAAAGGTACTCGCGCATACAGCCATGGTTCAGTGAGGAAGAAATCAAGGCTACACTAGGTAACGCACCACTTAAGTCAAACCAACGCGAGCATCAAACAGGCCACAACTTCATGCGCTCACAAACTCTCCTCAACATCCCACCCGGATCCGTCGCACGAAAAGCTACCAACCTTGAAGACTACGTGGTCCCTTCCGCACGTCAGACTCGACAGGCAAAGAAGTCTCAGACTGAGCAGTAGAATATACAAATCCCTAGCTTTCTGATTGAGTCATTTTTGATTGGGCATGCCTGATATCTGGTCTTTGAAATGTGTGAAATAGTTTCAAATGGAAAGAACACAAATACAAATACTGCATGATACAAATATTGCAGCACATCACAAAGTACATGTTATGCATATTGCATAGTACAATAAACTTGTCACTCAAAATATCAAAAATAGCAAGTACAATTAGTAATACCCACTTACCAAACATAATAAAACATATACTGTGAAATATGACACTGTTTTGGTGCAGTATGCTTGGGACGGCTTGCTTATGAATGGTTACAATACTGCCTACCATACAGCTCTGAGCTCCAACCCACTGTCTGCACCTCACATCGGATACCCTTGTCTGGTCTGTCATGATAATGCTGGTCCCTTTACTGGAGCTCTCATTAACTGATCCTCTCACCTAATTGATCACTTTGATCTGACAGAACCCTCCAGGCCTACATCTGCCAGCTCTGCCAGGGTGCTATTGGAGCTGCGTGGATGTGGGTGGAATGATTGTGTGAGTGGATGGATGAATGTGGTGACAAATCACCTGAACCTGGCAGAAAGGTCGTTTTAACTATTTTAACATGGAGACTGGAGGAGTTATTTGCTATTCATTGGAATTTCTGACTGTTACAATTTCACAGTATATCAGTTACTGGGTTGCTCCTGGACCAGCACCTGACAGTTGACGTGGAGTTATGTTATGATACTAACTGGTGTGAAAAGACAGACATGGTAACAAATAACAATGAAAACGACATGGAGCCGGAGGCAGGTATTGGTTGTAATTAACAGCAACATCAACTACTTCATAAGATGGGCTGTCTCATGACATCTGCTTCCTCAACAGCATGCTCATAAACACCTACAAAATCATAGCAACAACACAGCTTGTGATCACTAGCATGTATGTTAAACAAAATCAAAATGGAATAGCAACAATAAGTACAATAACTGATGTCAATTTAGCACTTCAATTTGTGTGCAAATTGTGATGATTTGTTGCCTGTTGACCAGTGATGGTGTGTCCAATCGGAAATGGCTAATCACAATAAGGAAATAAAATATTTCACTTATCTTCAATATTGCTAGCCTGGATTTGTGTTTACCTAAAATTTATCCAATGCTGCACTGATACTCATTGCCTGTCACGTTTCTCACGTTTCATTACCCAATGAAACTCACCACATCACAAAATGACTCCTTTCCTACATGTTTCCACACGCCTCCCCCTCGTATTCTCTCACTCTCTCGCTCACTCTGACCTTCAAACACCACAAGCAAACGTAAACAATGAGTAGGTAGTATGGAAACCACGTGCTAACTTCATTCATAAAATAACCTTCAAATGATACAAACAAAATACATGAGTTACCGTGGATTATCACGTGACCTTATCAAGTTTTTTCTTGCCAAAGTTGAAACAATACAAATCACAAATAACCTAAAAACAAATAAAACAAAATACAAATGAATCTTCTTGCCATGATGTTCTATCCTTGGTATGAAGTTATTAAAAACAAATGCAACGAACATTCATTACTATAAAGTCACGTGACTTTTTCCATATCAAATAATGAAAATAGTCAGCCTTGGGCTTCCCTCACATGGGTTAGTCCGCCTCGTTTCAACGCCAGCCAAGAGGCGCTTGTTGCGTCGAACTGGTGAGGTGCTGGACATCGATTGTGCTATTTTCTGTTAGATTAGACATACCATACTTGAATGAATCTAGTAGAATGTACTGATTCAAACGGATCTCTTGATACTAAAATATTTAATCCCTTCCAAAGATTAGCATCATCTGATCTGCACCTGACTCATGAAAAATTTGAAGAACTGAGATCTTCATGCAAATATTTCTCCCTTCCCCAAACACAAAATTTGAAAACTACTCCTGACCTCAACCAACTCAGTATCCTGCATGTTAACGCCAGATCTATTTCATCTAATGACAGATTTGATGAATTCCAGCTTTTCCTACAAAGAACACAATGTACATGGCATTTCATATGTGTCTCGGAAACATGGTTATCAAATGAATCAGTAAATAGTCATCAGCTTCCTGGTTTCACAGGATACTTCAACAACAGGGTCGGAAGGAGTGGAGGAGGAGTTGCAATTTATGTCAATGATAAATATGTTAAATCCTCATGTGATATAAAATTAAGCACAATGTCATGCACCCAATCCCTTTTTATTGAATGTCAAATAACAAGCATAACTGGAGTGATTGTTGGCATTATATACAAACCTCCTGATTTGGTAAACAACTTGTTTCTAGATGAACTCACAGCCTCTCTTGAACAGATTGAGAAAAAGAATAAATCAACATTTATTGCTGGTGACTTCAATTTTGACTTACACAATATTGAACAGGACAGTGCATGTCTAGAATTCTTCAACATCATGACTTCTCACAGCTACTGGCTAACAATTTCAAAATCAACAAGAGTCTCGGAGGACAGATGGTCACTGATTGATAATATTTTTTGCAATAACCTTGAGCTCTTGTCCTATTCTGGCATCATATATGATGACTTTTCTGACCACTTCCCTATATTCACATGCTGTACTAAAAAAATCAACCCACCTGAAGACAATTGGATTACCACCTTCAATTATAACAAAGTCACTGAACTACAAGAATACCTATCCCAACAGCTCTCAACATTCCATACCATCCCTGATGCAAATACTGCAGCTGATACACTTATCAATGCATACTCTTCAGGCATAGCATTGTTTAGCATTAAGAGGAAGTGTACTAGGAAAACAACAGCCATAAAACCTTGGATATCTTCAGCAATTCTCACCTCAATAAATACCCGTAGCACTCTATATAGAGAAAAAACAAAGAATCCTACAAATAGAAACAAACTTGCCTATCAAAGACATAGAAACTGCCTCAATGGCTTGATAAGGGAAGCGAAGAAAAAGTACTTTCAGGAACAATTATTGCTTCATAAGACAAATTCAAAGAAAATGTGGGAAATACTCAACAGTTGTATAAATAAGAATCCTAGAAAATCTGAAGTATCTACTGCTTTCAGTGATGCGCATGGAAATCCCATTGAAGACACCAAGCAAGTAGCTCACTTATTTAACAATTTTTTCATATCAATTGGTGAGAAGCTTGAAAAAGAAATCCCAAATACCAGAACTGATCCCCTGGATAGTGTCACTTCCAGTGAAAACACATTTGATCATTTTCACCCAACAAATTCTGCAGAATTAGACTCCATGATAAGAAATATGAAAAATGTTGGTGCTGGTATTGACAACATCAATTCAAAAATATTCAAAAATACATATTCAGCAATACTCAGTCAATTGGTTCATTTAATAAACATATCGTTGAGTACTGGAACATTTCCTGAAAGTATGAAGATGGCTGTGGTGAAGCCATTATACAAATCTGGAAGTAAAAATATATTTAGCAACTATAGACCCATTAGTATCATTCCCTATCTTTCCAAACTTCTAGAAAAGATTGTACACCAGAGAATCAATGCATACCTCATACAGAATGACATATTATGTAAGGATCAATTTGGCTTTCAAAAATCCTTATCAACATACATGCCTACAGTACTCCTGCAAGAACGAATAACAAAAAGCATGGAAAATGGGAAAATGTCCTCAGCGGTATTCATTGACCTTAAAAAAGCATTTGATACAGTGAACCACAACATACTCATCAGCAAATGTCGTAAATACGGATTTACTGGTCGTGCTCTTCGCTTTATCAAGTCATATCTCACAAACAGACAACAATGTGCAGAATTTAAAAGTACTAGATCCTCTTTTCAAAGTATTAAGCTAGGAGTGCCCCAAGGCTCTATCCTAGGCCCCTTACTCTTCCTTATATACATAAATGACTTAAAAAATGTATGCAAAAAATCAGAATGCCTTCTATATGCTGATGACACAGCCTTACTTTTTGAAGGTGAAAATACACAGGAACTACAAGAAAATATGAATAAAGAACTTGAAGCTGTATCCATTTGGCTTCAAGCAAACAAACTCACACTCAACGTACAAAAAACCATTTACCAAGTATACAACCAAATGGGTAATATCATTAATTTGAACATTATGATACATGGTGAAAAAATTGAAATAGCAGAAAAAGTAAAATATCTAGGCATCACTATTGACCCTGCCTTGAAGTGGAAATACCACATCGATAACATAGCAATCATTATCAGTAGAAATATTGGAATCTTGAGTAGAGCGAAGTACTTTCTTCCTGAAAAGTCATTACTCTTGCTCTACAACTCACTGATTCTTCCTTACTTAAACTATTGCTGCCTAATCTGGGGTTTCACATATCCAACTTATCTCCACAAAATCGAAGTATTACAAAAACGAGCAGTTCGAATTATAGTAAATGAACATCGTCTTGCACATACTATGCCCATATTTCGTAAGCTCAATGTTCTTAAAGTAAACGCACTAGCTAGACAACAACTTATCATGTTCATGTATCGAAAATTCGCTTCACATTTACCATCACAACTTAACCAATTGTTTGCTACAGTAGATCAGGATAATATAAGAACAAGAAATAGACAACATTTTCACGAACCCTTCTCGGCAAAACGTTATCGTGCACAAATAGCATCATGGATAGGACCGCGTGTCTGGAATAATGTCGTTGCATCCCAATTCTCTATAACAACCATTAATCAGATGTCTAAATCTCAGCTAAAAAGACACGTCAAAGCATACTTCATACAAAATATGTAAGCTTTCTCGAGAATTTCCTCTTGAATTCTCGCTATCCTTTCATTGCAACTTAATTTCAAATGTACTTGCCTCAAAACTGCACTAATTGCAAGTAAATCACGTTTCATCGAAATTATTTTCATCATCGTCACCATGAATAACTCTGGCGCTGGAGCAAGGAGCCTGACCAGCAACAAGCTTCGCTTAGCTGGAAAGGCTTTTCTGCCCTCAGCATTGACCGGCCGAATTTTTGACCAGAGCGAATCCCCACGTATGTTTGCATGACGTGTGAATGAGCGATTGTTTTTTCTACTCTAGATGAATGCATGCCCTTCTGAGTGAAAGTTGCTTTCGGTATCGTAGTAGAGAACAGTCATCTGTCTGGTTTCAGCAGTGGCTACTTTCGCATTCTGTTCTTGTCTCCGCCTAAACCCGCTACCCCTTCTCTCATTTGCTTTTTTTAGTTTTATTTCCTTTCTTAGCAGGGAGTGCCGCGACTTATCAGTTTATTTTATCTGGTGTTAACGTAAGGTTCTGCTAGTCGCTGGGTTTGAGGGCGGGGGCACTCCTGGTCACCTGATCATGGGTGGCGGAGTAGTTCGAAAAAAAAGTACTAGCAGGTGGCTACATGAGTCGGTAATGCGTTCCTAATTCGCATTAGCGGCTAAATACGTATTTACTGTGCTCATATAACCCCGATATCTGTCCTCTAAACAAACTGCTGATTCATTGTGCCTTCAACTTCGTAACTGCAGCCGCAAAGTAGCTGGCGTAGGTTTGGAGCACGAGCAGCTGACCGTGTATGGCATGTACAATGTTGGCATTGAGGTGGGACAGCACTGTGTTAAAATGGAGGTGCTCATTACTGATTGTCGTGACAAGGTCATCCTAGGCACCCAAGTAGGCACCGATTTCCTGAGAGCAGCCGAGGTGGCTACTGGCTATAGACTTCAGTGGGGGAAAGGTCACAGTGTTTGGGGAAGAGATAGAGCAGAGACCAGTCACTGCATGCAGGTGTGCAGTTCTTGATTCTTTCGAGGATCAGTTTGACACGGGCTCAGATACAGGAGTGACCGACTTTGTACCTCCTCAGCTGTGTAAGGGTGTTAAGGTTGAGCCTGAATTGCGGCGTCACTTAGCTGATGATGACCGTCACCAGGTGTCTGACGTTTTGGATGAATTTGCTGATATGTTCTCAGTGGATGGTCAGCTGGGACGGGTCAAGGGTGTGGAGCACTGTATCGAGCTGAATGGTGCACAGAGGTCGAGTAAGCCGTACCCTGTACCTCACACACTGAAAGGTGTTGTCCAGGAGCAGATAGGTGAGATACTGCCACGGGGAGTGATAAGGGAACGTAAAGGTCTCGAGAGATTAAGCGGTAGGTTTTGCACTTTTACATTTCCGGTTATATCTCAGAAACTAATCGATCTACGATGAAGCCATTTTACACGATCATGGCCGGCTTGTTACCCTACAAGTCGATCGCATCTTCAACACTTAAAAGCTTAAGACGACGAAGATATAGCCTGAAGTACACTAAATTTTCTAGGTGCAAAACCTACCGCTAAACCCCGCGAGACCTGTACTTCTCCGTATGCTAGTCCTGTGCTACTTGTGCCTAAACGCTCTGCTTCTAATGAGCCTCAGGCTGATTCATACAGTTTGGCACTGACTTCCGTCAGCTGAACGGGGTCACTGTGAAGGACAGGCATCCTCTGCCGCGTATTGAGTCGCTGCTTGCTGCAGTAGGGCCTGACAGCTGTGTGTTTACTCAGCTTGACCAGAAAGCTGCTTATTGGTAACTACCAATTCCTGAGAGTGACCAGGAGAAAACTGCATTTGTCACGGAGGATTCCCAATATTGTTACCAAGTGCTCCCGTATGGGGTGACAAATGGTCCGAGTAGCTACCAGCGTCTGATGATGAAAGTTCTGGGGGATCTCATGTGGAAAAGCGTCTTAGTGTATCTAGATGATGTTTTGATTTTCTCCAACTGCAATGAGGACCATGTTAAGGTGCTTCGTGAGGTCATGGTGTGTCAGAATTGGAAATAGCCGCTAAACTTTAGTTCTGCAGCATTGTCAATAGATGGCAGTACCGCAATATGGGCGGCGAATCGTGCAATTGACGTCAAATTTTCGGTACCTGCGAAGAATTGAATTGCGGATCTTTTCATGCAAGAATCAAGTAAATCGGTCCACAACTTTTCTAACAACAGGGGTATAAAGTCAAACACCCTGCCAGAGCGACGGCGCGGCGGCCGGCGGCGGCCGTTACGCGCCGCCTGGGTGACTGCCGGCGCGGGACGGTTCCGACTTTGCATTGCACTTAAACCTGTCAACTGCCTGGAATAGATATTATAGCAAAATTTTCATTCGAGTAAGGAATAATCCAAGGACAGGAAGCATGTATGTTTGTGTGCATACTGTGCAAGCCAAGAAGCTGCGTTACCAGATACTCGCTAATATTAGATCCAGCCAAGTCCAAACGCATTCCACGGGATGTGTTTCTGATGCGTTAAAGGGACAGTATCATCGAGAAAAAAAATCAATGTATGGAGCTGATTTTTTTTACTAGCATTTCTTATTTTTCTGAATCAGAAAAACATAGTTTGAGGACCGAACTCGGTGAAAAATATTTTTTCATGAGCGGGTCATTTTCATGAGCGAACCACCACTACAAGCATGGCCGCCACTTTGGAAGCCTGCGAAATTACTACAGAACTGGCGCAGATAATACATTATTGACGCTACGCTTACGCGGCCGCTCTTCTGATTGAGTTGTCGTTAGGGAAAGGCAGCATTAGGTATTGCCAAGAAGATATCACGTGACAAGCTGAAGGAATTCCTTCAAGCTGAAGGAATTCCTTTGTTGAGCCGCTAGAATCCGAAGGAAACAGCGGAAATTGCTTACGACTATTTAATGAATTTAACGGTGATGAATAAGTGCGAAAAACGTTTTGGCTTTATAAAATTTGATGAAATGACCAGGGTAAAAGTTTTATTACTGGCGGTCAATTCAAAACGGCGCAAACATTTAAACAGTGAAGATAGTGAAGCACGATTCAAAGTGTAGTACACCTTTCGTACTTTGAGCGGCGATAGCGGGATAACGGTGTGGAGCTTCGAGGATCGGTCTTCAGTTCCCGGACCAGAAAGGTGGGGCCTATGCAATGTCAAATTTCATCAAAATGGTGATACTGTCCCTTTAACAATATTTATCGTTCGAGGGCGGATACAGTTGTAACAATACAAAAAATGTTTTTGCACACCTCAATTCCTTGAATAATTCTCTTCAACGCCTTATTCCTAGTTAAGCGAATTAACTAGTCCATCCTGGTTGAATAGATAAGGCGATTTCGCCAAAACGTCGCGGAAAACCGACCGAAAACGGCCGCGCTCAACGATAATTTGGGCATGTAGACTCTTAAAAACTCGCATTGGACGGATAGAGTTTCCCAGGTATTGGCTTCAAAACAACGTATTCGGCTCCCGAATACGTCCAAGTGATCCATCTCGTTCCTAGTTAAGCTCTAATTAGATCAAGTGACTTATAAGGAGCGAAAAAGCGACAAAAAGCATGAATTCCCCCCCCCCCCCAATCATGCGCTGGTTATAGCCGTGACGGCAGCAAGATTCTTAGATAAACGGAAATAAGTCGTTAAATTTGAACTCCGACGAGCAGTATGGGAGAGTGCCCAATCTGCGCCCGGTCTCCTAATTGCGCCCGCGTCATTTTCTGTGAACCCAGTAGGTCGATTGGTGTTTAGAAAACAATTTATTAATAGTTAATTGCTAATTGTTACTTGCTTAACGACATCATCTGTGATCAAAACAATATTTTTCAACAATAAAATTCAACTTTCTAATACTGAAGCAAAACGTAATTTCGATTACTGTTTCTCTCTTGTTAAAAAGTGCTTTCCCACATGAAAATGTGTTTGAAAATTTTAATATTTTATTTAAGCTACAGTAAAAATATCATACGCTTCAACAAATGTTTTTTATGATCAGGAAGGCAATATTCCTGTATGTTTGATGCAGTATTGCAATGCAATCCAGCCATCCAAGAAACTTTGCGCGAGAGGTTTTCTTGGATGGTTTTCTTGTATAGCTTGATTTCATCTGGAGCTTCTGCTTTAAAAGAAATTTGTAAGCTTGGTTGTACTAAGTATTTAGAACTGCTTGTATGTCAGTACCCATCGTGCATTTAATGTAACTATTTTATTTCCGCAAATTTAGGCCTTTTTAAGCAGATAACAAACGATATTATGAAACCTACAGGAAATAATAGCTAGGAGTCTACCACAACAAAATATTTCTATCTCGAGTTTCCAAAGAATTTCATGCACTCGGCCAAGGCCTCGTGCATGAAGTCCTTTGAAAACTCTCGATAGAAATAATTCGTTTTCGCGGTATCGTCCAAAAATGTTCTCCCTTTAACCCTTGCCCGTATGGGGGGGGGCGAACGGACCTCCCCCTCGTTTTTCCACGAATAACTCGCGTAAAAAGCGGCTGATCCCGACGAATCTTTGAGTACCCTCGCGTTAATCTATGTTGCACCTACCCTGAAAATTTCATAGCCCTGACCCAAATGACCTTTGACCTGTGACCTACTTTGCGAGACCATGTTTGGCCGGAATTACGATTCAGCGTATGTCGGCTCGCACTTGCTGTGAGCGCCGTCTAATTGTTGCATGTGCCGGTCGTGTGACCGCTCGTGTGACCGCCCGATTCGTGCGTCTGGGCCGCCGCCGCTCGGCGCAGCTGACCGACCGACTGCCTGGGGGCGGGGCGAAGGTCGGGGAGCGGCGCGGTCGAGACGAACCGCCGCTGACCGACTGAAGGTCACTCTCTGACCGGCCGTAATCCAATACAGTCCGTCAGATGAAGAAGTGCTTGTGAGTGAGACGGCGGCAACATAACAGCACTAACCACGAGTTTGCAGTTATTTCGTGGTTTCCAGCGTGCAAACATGGAACATGATGCTGCTCTCATGCTTAAGGGTGGGTGTCAAGGTCACCTGAAGGTCAAGTCAGGTCATTGACCTTTGATGACCTCGGTTCACTTTTTCGAGTTTTACATGTTTCTAGGCTATTTTTTGGAGCTGAATGTGAATTTAGCAACCATGTGAACATTTACGAAGTAGTTTTGGTGCCTTCGTAACATGTCACGATGCTGTCAGAGGCGGTTGACACCTACTACGAATACCCGGCAGGACCCCTACTGGTTGACCTGACCTGACCTGACCCGACCTGATCTAAATGCATGAGGAAATCATCTGTGATCAAAACTAACATGATATTCGTGATCAGCACCCCGAAAAAACCCATAGCAGCCACACTTAACGACGTTCCAACAGGTCGCGATTTTCGCGCAGGGAGCACTCCACTGGCACCATGCGCATAGAGCGGGCCGACACAACAGCCAACCATTATCCGGGACGTGACTAAGTGCGCTCACCTGAGTCTTTGACGAAGAGGGTGGCCTTGGCCTCCTCGATGGTGGCCAGCGGCTCCTGATCCAGCAAGGCGCTCAGCATACGATCCAGCACGCCCTCCACCGAGGTCTCGTCTACATCAAGCAGCAGCTGCGCCTCCTTGATGAAATGCGACACGTCCATTGCCGCGCGCACCTCCGAGCGGAAGTCCTTAATCGCCACCTTCTGTTCGCACAATGTACCAGATGGGGGGGGGGCGGGGGGGGTATCTGAGTTTGTCTCGTCGGGACGGATCGACAGAATGATAATTTGGTCCTTAACCCTCGCCCTGGCAGGGCATTTTTCATAACACGGCCTGGCGGGGGGGGGGGGGTTGATGCAACCGCCCCTCGCGATTGGCTCCTATGGCACCTAGAAACACCAAATTTGGTAGGTAGGTGGCCCCTGGAGTTTTCGCCCCTGTGAAAATTTGGTTGCTCTAGGTCAACATTTAGGGTTTTTTTGGGGTATAAATGTAATTTCGCTAGAAACAGGTCAAAAGTTTTTCGCTGCTAACTTTTGATCTAATTAAGATAGAGCAAAAAGAAAAGCACCAGTGAACTCAGCACGTCAAGGCGCGTCGAATGATATACTTTTTTGCTTGCTTAAGTGTACTTAAAACGTTAAGCACATCTAAAGTGCAACTAAAACTTTAGTTGCAACTAAAAGTGCAACTAAAAAAGTCTTAAAAATGGTCGAAATGGTTAACCCGCGCCGCACTTGGGGGGGGGGGGCTATTCATAGCCCCCCTCCAGTTTTTCTCCAATAACTTCCAAACCGCGTGACATATCGACACAAAACTTTCAGTACCTTCGGCTGCAACAATGGCACGGAATATATAGTCTACGACATGGAATGGACAAAACGAATTTTTCCTGTAACTGCTGAGTTTTGGCTATCTGGCAATTTTAGGTGTGCTGCTGTGGTTTTGGCACTTCCGTGCTGATGAACGAGATGAAATTTATCAAATTAAATAACTTTTTTCAATAAAGTTAAAGGAAATAGTTCACATTCACGAAATTATTTTCTTTGCAATGGATTTATGATTTTTTATGTTCAAAATGATCAGCAAAGAAAATAAAACCTTTTTATAACAAAAGATTATTTTCTATATTTTGATATAGGAAGAACTTTTCAGTTTCTGTAAGGCATACGCGATCCAGTATGAAAAGAGCATGGGTCCCGAAAATTCTTCAGAAACTAGAGAAATTATCGCGGCCACCGGCATTTGGGCGATTTGCTCGTGCTTTTGTTACTGGAGCGCCTCTTTCCCCGAGATTGCGCCGGCCGCCTGCCATGGACGAAAAATACACGACTTTGAAATCCGGCTGATCGTGGGAAAATACCGAAAATACCGCCGGAGGTCTCGGCTATATGCAGGAATTCACCGGGATGTATAGTATATACCACTGCCTCGATGTATAGGCTATAGCCTGCAAGCTGGCTTTGGTGCAAAGTGCAAACATGTCACACATGGTATAGGGCGGATTGTCGATTGATGTAAGCGAATCAGACGTTCAATTGACAATTTCCGATTCTTATTCGATAATTACGGCCAATTATATTTTATTTTAGGAAGTGTTATTAGGAGCGGAGCAATAAAATCTCATTTCTCCCCTGTCTCTTTACCTATCTCTCAAATCCCTTGCTCACTCTGCACTCATCTTTCCTCTCCATAGGCGGCGGAACGGGGAGGGCACCGGGGCACCGTCCCCCCCTTTGATTTTGGCATTTTAACATTAGCCCTATGGGCGTTGCATGGAAAGAATGGGACAAAAAGTTGGCAGTGCCCCCCCCCCTTAATTGAAGGTGTTCCGCCGCTACTCTTCCTCTCTGTAGGTATCAGTCTCCTTGCCGTCCTCCCTGAAGTCTCTGTTAGTCTTTTCCTTCATACTTATCCTCCTTTCTCTCACCACCCTCTCTCTCTCTCTCTCTCTCTCTCTTCTCGCTCTATCTCTTCTCTCTCTCTCTCTCTCTCCTCTCTCGCTCGCTCTCTCGCTCTCTCGCTCTCTCTCGCTCTCTCGCTCTCGCTCTCTCGCTCTCTCGCTCTCTCGCTCTCTCTCTCGCTCTCTCGCCTCCTCGCTCTCCCTCGCTCTCTCTCTTCTCTCTCTCTCTCTCTCTCTCTCTCTACCGCCGTCTGTCCATCTCTTTGTCCGTCTCTCCGTCCGTCCGTCCGCCCTTCCGTTCAGTCCGTCCATCCATCCGTCCGTTTCTCCATTCTCCGTCCGTCCGTCCATCCGTCTCTCTCGTATGTTCGTCCGTCCGTCTATCTGTCTCCCCAGACCCCATCCGCCCGCCCGCCCGCCCAAGGCCCTAAAACAAACGAGTCCTCAAATTAATAGGTTAGGGGCATATGCCCCCCGGACAGGAGCCTGAGGGGCATTCAGTACAAGTATGCCCCCCCCCATTCAGACTTACACTTATTACGCCTATAACGAGGAATAAATAAAAATTGATTAGAAAGCCTTCCTAGTAACTAGGTACTTTTGTGATCAGAGTCGTTTTAGTAACCTCAATTTAGAGTAAATGGCGAAGTACTTGTATGAACAGCATTATGACATATATATGTTTTCAAATATAACCTTATGTTCAATGATTGCGAAATGCAAAAGGTTCCAAAATTAATTACAAAATGAATATATTTCGGACACTGTCCTTCTTCAGTTCAGAATTGCAAATTAAATCATTTAGTCACAACAGCGCCAGAATATGTCGATAACAGCTAAGTTAGAAAGTCTCACATTGGTAAATTCTCGCGCAAAATAGACAACCATCTTACAGTTAAAATGTTCATAAGGTTTCATATAAATATAGTACATGTGTCCACAATTTACACATTAATTCATCCCTATCATCTATCGATCACTAGACAACAAGCATCTAGTCGTCTATTCAACCATCGAGCCTTGCAATCAGTCAAACATCCAACCATCCATGTGCTCACACATCACTCAGCTATGGATAATTTTACAATCAAGTCATCAAACGCCACCATCTTACATCAAAGAGTATAGGTGCTTTACCATTAAACCATTCATTCAAACCTCGAAACAATACTCAATCGTTCAATCATTCATGTTCATCCATACATTCATACATTCATTCATTCATTCATACAATCATCCAATTATTCAGTCCTTCATTCATTCATTCATTCATTTTCTCACACACCATTCATCAATATCGTTGAATATAAAAGCCACTTGTCATCAATACACACATATGATCAGTGAAACAGTGGCAAAGGCATCAGAACAGACGACGTTACAATAGCGAAGTTGTAAATGCTAGAGTACTACAGGACAGGATCAGTATCTCATTTCTTTCCCTTGGTCTATGACTCGTTACCCTTTAAATGATGGCCCAGGCCGCTATGTTGCTATTTAGAGCTGGGCGAATCTGTTTGATCCAAAGAGACTCCGCTATTTTCCTGCCTCTACTTTCATCGCATGCCTGCAGAATCTTTGCCCTTACATTATGGGGTCCCGGCCGACACTGGGGATGCTGTGTTCGGAAATGCTCGCCCCATGGGGAGTCATTCCGCTTGTTTTTAGCATCTCGCAAATGTTCGTTGTAGCGGAGGCGCACCGAACGTCCCGTCTCACCAACATAACTGGTTACACAGTTCACACGTGAGCTGGTACACCACACCTGAGCTGTGGCATCTTCCTTTCAGTCCGGCGGCGCACGAGTGGCATCGAGAGCCACCGGGACAGGGTGGAGGCTGGAGGGCTGACCGGACCAATTGGTGCCTGATGGTGTTCTTATTAGTCCAGGCCAACCCCAGGTCAGGTTGGCTACTCCTCCGGACGACTGACTGGACCGCGTTGGCGAGCTCGTCGTCGACAAATGGTAGCACCATTCTGACTGCGGAAGCATTCGGTTTTCTTGTTCTTGCTCTGGTCGTGTTCATGCACTGGTCCACCGCCTTGTTGATGGTCTTCACGTTGTACCCGTTGTTGGCGAAGAGCTCTCTTGTTTTGTTGATGCTTCGGTGTCGGGCGTTATCGTCACTTGATAGCTTGATGGCTCGTCGTATTTGTGAAGACCGAATGCTTCCGCAGTCAGAATGGTGCTACCATTTGTCGACGACGAGCTCGCCAACGCGGTCCAGTCAGTCGTCCGGAGGAGTAGCCAACCTGACCTGGGGTTGGCCTGGACTAATAAGAACACCATCAGGCACCAATTGGTCCGGTCAGCCCTCCAGCCTCCACCCTGTCCCGGTGGCTCTCGATGCCACTCGTGCGCCGCCGGACTGAAAGGAAGATGCCACAGCTCAGGTGTGGTGTACCAGCTCACGTGTGAACTGTGTAACCAGAGTTATGTTGGTGAGACGGGACGTTCGGTGCGCCTCCGCTACAACGAACATTTGCGAGATGCTAAAAACAAGCGGAATGACTCCCCATGGGGCGAGCATTTCCGAACACAGCATCCCCAGTGTCGGCCGGGACCCCATAATGTAAGGGCAAAGATTCTGCAGGCATGCGATGAAAGTAGAGGCAGGAAAATAGCGGAGTCTCTTTGGATCAAACAGATTCGCCCAGCTCTAAATAGCAACATAGCGGCCTGGGCCATCATTTAAAGGGTAACGAGTCATAGACCAAGGGAAAGAAATGAGATACTGATCCTGTCCTGTAGTACTCTAGCATTTACAACTTCGCTATTGTAACGTCGTCTGTTCTGATGCCTTTGCCACTGTTTCACTGATCATATGTGTGTATTGATGACAAGTGGCTTTTATATTCAACGATATTGATGAATGGTGTGTGAGAAAATGAATGAATGAATGAAGGACTGAATAATTGGATGATTGTATGAATGAATGAATGAATGTATGAATGTATGGATGAACATGAATGATTGAACGATTGAGTATTGTTTCGAGGTTTGAATGAATGGTTTAATGGTAAAGCACCTATACTCTTTGATGTAAGATGGTGGCGTTTGATGACTTGATTGTAAAATTATCCATAGCTGAGTGATGTGTGAGCACATGGATGGTTGGATGTTTGACTGATTGCAAGGCTCGATGGTTGAATAGACGACTAGATGCTTGTTGTCTAGTGATCGATAGATGATAGGGATGAATTAATGTGTAAATTGTGGACACATGTACTATATTTATGAAAGGGTACCTTATGAACATTTCAACTGTAAGATGGTTGTCTATTTTGCGCGAGAATTTA